ATATTGTTGTTGTCCTGCAGTGGCAACAGCTTCAACAGCAGGCTTTTTAAGGGGGTGGTTGTTTATGCAGCAGTGTTTTACAGGAATGACACTGTGTCCTTGTTTGATTTCTGTTTACTAAACACAAACACACTCAAAATCATACTCTGAAAACTATAGTCTAGATTTAGTGGCAGTTTATACTTTGTGGAGACATTTCTTCCTTTATGACCCATTTAAATAAAGCAGTAAAATGTGAAGATGCAGCAAAAACAAAAGTAAACTGAACAATGGTAAAATTGGCTGGGCAAAGACCATTCAGCATTAATATACAAGGAAAATCCAATGTACACTATGTTGCCAAAAGTATTCACTCACCCATCCAAATCATTGAATTCAGGTGTTTCAATCACTTCTGTGGCCACAGATGTATAAAACCAAGCACCTATGCATGCAAACTGCTTCTACAAACATTTGTGTTTGGTACCATGGTGGAATGCCAGCTGTGGAACAAGTCCAGTCGTGAAATTTCCTCTCTACTAAATATTCTACAGTCAACTGTCAGTGGTATTATAACAAAGTGAAAGCAATTGAGAACGACAGCATCTCAGCCACAAAGTGGTGCATAGTGCGCAGAGGTCGCCAACTTTCTACGGAGTCAATCGCTACAGACCTCCAAACTTCATGTGGCCTTCAGATTAGCTCAAGATCAGTGTAGAGAGCTTCATGGAATGGGTTTCCATGGCTGAGCAGCTGCATCCTTACATCACCAAGCGCCATGCAAAGCATCGAATGCAGTGGTGTAAAGCACCACCACTGGACTGTAGAGCAGTGGAGACGTGTTCTCTGGAGTGACCAATTATGCATCTCCGTCTGGCAATCCAATGAATGAGTCTGGGTTTGGTGGTTGCCAGGAGAACGGTACTTGTCTGACTGCATTGTGCCAAGTGTAAAGTTTGGTGGAGGGGGGGTTGTGGTGTGGGGTTGTTTTTCAGGAGCTGGGCTCGGCTTTTTATGTATTTTGAATTTCAGCTGCATTAATTGCAGTGAATGTTGAATTTTGAATCTAAGTAGTGCTTTAGCTACATTCCTCAATTAAATTCCAAAGTTTGTGTGCCATTAGTGAAACTTATCAGCACCAAACACTGCTGATTTAAATGTTGAATATCTAAAATGTTATTGAAATTCAAAATGGAAAAATAACATAAATCTGACTCAGTCAGTGTTTGATGGATTTAAAAGACTTTTGAGTTGCATTTTGATCCACTTACATAAGACATTTTCTTTTCTACACTCTCATTTTAAAAGTTTAGATGGTTAAGTATCTATTGAACCTTCATGACTGCTAATGACTGTCGATTACTGAACCTCCATCATCAAGCTAACTAGCTATATCAGTATACAGGTAATATCACTTTTTACAGGTAAGGCTTAGTACAAGTATTGGCAAGTACATTTTAACTATAGGTTAATTCAAAGTCCTTTTTCTAAATTAAAGTGGTGTGTATTTCTAACCATAATTCAGAGCAAATAACACAATTAATCAGATGTGTGTAGACACAGTGTTTATGGAGCTATTGACGTTTCATTGTCTGACTCTTCATGTGTCTACTGTTAGCATGAACAATAAAATAGGTGTACAAATGTGTGTACATGGATATAGGCGTGGTCTAGAAGTGCATGCTTTTTCTTTTTCATTGAAAAACTCGTCTCAGTTCTGTGGTATTAACACAAAAGAGCGGTACATTAAATGTCAACCAAACAGCAAAAGAAAAGGTGTGCATCACTCTCTGTGGTCGTACTGTCATGAATATGTAAGTCTTTACTGACTACCGTTGTCTGATCAAATGTTAATAGCGCCGAAAAGACAAATATCAAAAATAAAACTAACTTTACCGTGGTCACAAGATGTCTCAGTATGAACTGGTAACTATATGGGGTTTGTAGTTTATCTGCCGCTCTAAGCAGATTCACTGCATGAATGAATTAAATAGGAGCTACACAGAGACTCTCCTCCTCCACTGCAAGTGTGTCTTCCTGCAGGCTGGACTCCAAACAGGAGGGACTGAACTCCAAACAGGTTGGTCTGAAATGGGTTTGTGTTCTGTTAAATGCTGTTATTGGTCTAATATAAATGTATTCAAGCAGGTTTAATGTGAACTCCAGCAGGTCCAGTACGCTTGTTCACGATTTGTGTTTGACTCAGTGCTGATCTCAATGCTGTGAAATGTTGGTCTTTTAATATAAATAGTTTTATATACAACAAATACAAAATATCATCATTCTTAAAACTGCAGTATTTTCTGATGTAAAAATGAGTCGTGTTCATCTTTTCTTTTTTCAATCTTTTTTTTTTAACTTAATGCAACTGACTAAATTAATTCCGGTCTGATAAACAATATTAAAATGGATGTTTGTTTCTGATGAACATATGAGAAGAGAAGCAAATATCAGCATTACTGACATTCATTGGCCGAAAAGTCACAGAGCTCAGACCCCAATCTATAAATAATTAAATTACTGTACTTCATATTTATCTGGAAAAAAAAACAAACAAAAAAAAAGGCCAATCTGAGCAGATCAGCTAAAAGTTCCGGTAGAATAAGAGTTCATGTCAATGTTCACACAAATGCTACTCACAGTTAACATGAAATCTTAAGAGGAAGATTACTCTGTTCTGTTCTGTTACTCTGCACTCCCAGATCTAGCCTATTTAATCCAGCAAGCATGCAAACATTGTCCTTTTGTGGGCAAGCATGGGCAGTGTGGGCAGGGGCCAATCCCGCACATGGGTATACCCACAGAAATATCAAGAAGGGCTACTGTGGGTTTGACCAAATTGAGTCACCACCACTTTATACTCTGTAGGTCCAGTGTGGGTTTTATGTGGGCAGCACTTTAACAAGTCCACATAAATCTCATTCTGACCAACTGTAGGGCTGCCAATGTTCTGCACACAGGTTAAAATGTGCAGATGTGTCATTATTTCTTCTGATATTTCAGTTTAGAAGCTGAAAAAGAACATATGAAATTTCCCACATTAAATTCACAATATTATTGGTGAAAATACATGACTGGCAGGAGGTTTGGACCAATGAAAGGTCGAAACCCCTGCTGTCTTAGGTTTTAATATAAGACTTAGTAGATACTGCTTATGCTAAACTCCTCTGTGATTTGCTAAGTATTAATTTATTCATTAAAGTGTTAATAAATACTTATTTGTGCATCACAATTGTAAGGTTTTGGCATTTCATGCACATGCAGTAAAAATTAGCTTCACTTTTATACTGTCCCAATACTTCTGCTCAGAGGTGTGTAATGCAGCCTAAATAATATTAAACTCGAATATAAGTCCTGTCACCTTGGTGAAACAATGAATAATGACTGCAGCAAAAGAAAAGAAAGACAACTGGAGTTTAACAGTAGCAGCTCAAAAAATACTAAATGTTAAATAAAATCTAATATAAAAATATAAGTACTGAGTAACTTATAGAACTGCATTGGAACTTCTTAGTAAATCCAGCATCCATCAGTATAGAAACTCAAGTTTGTACGGCTCTATTCTTCTCTTTTTGATACACTTTCATTTTAAAATAAATTGCTCAACCTCCAGAATAACAGGTGTGATCAGTCACGCAGCTGCACAGATGCTGCATGAAAAAAAAAAAAAAAACTTAAAAAATGTAAATTAATTTCCTCATAAATATAGTTGACTAGAAGTAAGAAGTGTTATGATTTGAAAATACTCTGTAAATTTAACTTGTTTCTACAGATTTATGATTATGCACTGTAAGGTTTTATCTACTGGTAAGAAATTTGGAGTTTGCACATGAAGTACATTTGAATTACTTAATTTCACTGAAAATCTGTTGAGACGATATAATGCTATATTTCATTGTAATACTTTTCTTAACTTTGATTATAAAGGCAATTTCCATACAATAAAGCAAAGCTATTTGTTTATGTAGCTTGTCTCTATAATGTTTTGTGTGATCTATAATGTGTTCTCCATGTAAATACTAATACTGATTTATGCCATTCATTAAAAGGCAGATATATTTAATCCATCAGTCTCAGCAGTGATGATGATGATCATCACATGAAGATGTGATCATTACAGCAACATCACTGCTTGATTCTCATCATTATTTACAGTGGGTTTGGTCTGCAAGTGCAAGTGTTCTGACCTCTTTTGATGAGAGAGAGAGTGAGCTGACCACCACATCAGCCAAGACCACCATGATGAGAATTTGAAAATGAATAGAAGATCTTTGCTGAGTTCAGATCTCATCCTCATCACTGCAGGAGATAATCAGACATTATCAGCAGAGTGACCTGTCTAATCTCTCAGTAAGCAGCTCATTTGTACAATGTTTATGAGCTGGACTTTACTGTCTGACTGGTAGCACTGCATTAGCAAGCTGAACTCATCAGCTGTTCTTATAATTAGCCACTAGAGGGAGAGAGAGCAGCATTTATCTACCTGACCACCCAGATCAGACTGACGATTACTGCAAAAAGAAAAGTAAATCTGGCTGGGATCTAAGATTTGAAAGCAACACTATAAATCAGGACTCAGTGAAGTCTTTATTGAACTCTATGATGATTTACATTGTTCACTGAAAGAAAAAAAAACTACTGTGTTTAATTTATATGACAGATATTATTTTTCATTACTAATATAACAGTTTTAGAATTACATTTCAAACTCAACATCAAATACAAAAACAAGCATTCAAATTCATTCTGTGATCATAATTCTCATGTGATTCTAATGTGATTTTACTGAAATACAGAGAGAGTAAAGTGCAGCTCCTCCTGATTTTAAAATAAATCAGTGAAATCTCATTATTAAACCAAAAAAAACATTCAATATGTATTTATTTATGATTACATTAAAAATCACTCGCTGGGCATTTTAATACAGTTGTCAGACTGGCAGAGGGATGAATGTGAAACTAGAATGTAGGTCTATGAAATGTGACACCAGGGAGGAGAGCTGACATATTTCTCAGGTGAAGGAAAGCTCAGGTGAGGCTGAAATTGTTTCTCCAGTGTTCAACACCACTTGGTGGTTTGAGAGGAACAATATTGTTTTTGGAAACCATGATGATATTATGAGATGAGATATAATACACACAAAAGGACGGCACATTCAGTTAAAGAGCCTTTTTCTAGGATCTTGTTTGTGGAGGTAAGAGCTTTATATGAATATTTTAATAACTTTTATAAAGAAGAAGAGATCAACAGCTAAATCAGCAGCTGCTGCAGTTCACATTAATCTGACTCTCATTAAAGTCACTTTCTTTCTTCTTCACCAGTAAAATTAAAAGTAATTGTTGACTCTGTGTATCTTGTGTCGTCTGCTGAGCTCCTGCCTCTGTGAATGTGTACACAGTAAATGAGTTTAGCTGCTTCTGTATTTTAATTTACTGCTAATTCATGATGTCCACATTTGTCTGTTTTTAATTACAGCTTTTACTGGCTGTTTCTGTGAGTTTTTCTGAGCTGTTTATTATTCAGAGTTGTTCTTCTTTTTAGTCTGACAGGTTTTGTTAAACCAGAAAAGCAGGATGAGCCTCTCTGAGGAATATGAGGAAGACAGTTCCACCTCCAAGAAACACTCAGAGTAAGAGACTTTTATCTCTCTTGTGTTATAATAGATAATTGTAGTTGTTAATGCAGTGAGATCATGTACAATTTTAGCTTCATATTTAATTTAATTATGTTTTACCTAATGAGTCTGCATGCTTAAGCCAGAGGTGAGCTATGATGTTATACTGGTTTAAAAAAGTACATAACTTTCCTGACCTTTGTGGGCACGACCAGCAGTGTGAGTCCCTTATAAGCCCAAAATACCCGACTATGGCACTTTTAGTTAAGGGATGAGAGCAACCTATGAGTTAAACATGTACACCAAAAGGGCTGTTAACACTAACACCATTTATTCTTTCCCTCACAAGGTCTGTTTAAATAAATGAACGGAAGATATCAGATGTGCAACAGCATGAGACTTTTAGACAATTAAATAAAAGCCAGACAATAAATAAAAGAAAAGATTAACTGCAATTAGGTTCAGTCCTTCAAGTCTTAAACATGCTTATATGGCTAATACAACCTTCAGTGATTCCCAAGCATTTAAGAGATACCCACTGGATTTACAGCAAAGCACCTCAAAACAAGTAACCAGTAAATAAGATTCACGACAAAAAATAAAATATATAAAATAAATCTTGAACTCATACTCACACTAACTTCTATATACCAATGAGTTTATCTGTATCAGCAAGGGAAATGGCAGATTGTGATATGAAAGACTTTATAATTCTATAAATCTTATTTAAAAGACAAAGTGAAAACATTACCAAACCATTATCTAATTCCAACGGTAATAGCAGGCCAAAATAAAAAAAGAAGAAAATGGAAAAATAAAATAACAATATGACCAACCAGAATACAAATTCCAGAACCATAAAACAAAACAATAAAGCAAGCACTAACAGTCAGGCAAAACATAACCAAACAAAGAACAATGCAAAAAAAAAAAACACGCTAATGCTTAGCTACCACACGCTTCTCCACATCTCATACCTGTGTAGGTATCTGCCTCTATAACAGCAGCAACTATTTACCACCTGGACACCCTCCCAGCATCCCAGAAGCCCAATAAACTGTCATGAAGATTCTAAAATAAACACATCACGTCACAGGAAAAACTTAACTAACTAAATAAACTAGTCCTTTACACACTCCAATGAAAATGAAAAGCAGCACTAGTCACCTAAAGCCTGTAACGGGCACCCATGAGCCAAAGCCTTTACTGGACTCCCACTAGCAAAATTAGCAAAGTAGCATAACATATATCTCCTTATGCCAAAGGATTAATAAGTAAGTAAATAAGTAAGTCAGTAAGTATTTATAAAGCACATTTAAACCCAAAGTGCTGTACAAAGGGGATACGTTCAAAAAACATATAAAAGAAAACATAAGTTGTTTTCCTGCATATTGTCTGCAGCACTTGCTTACCAACCTCTGGCTTCAGCTGCCTTGATGGCAGGATTGCTGGTCTGGATGGTTGCAAACCTTCCAAAGTGGAATTGGTTTCCACAAGCAGGAAGGACAGTCTAACAGCAGAGCAGCTAAAACAAATGCAGCACTAGAGAACTTACACTCGATACCAGAGAATCGAAACAGTGTCAACACCTCATACCGCAAATTGTGTCGATTCAATGATTCAGTGCCTCGCTACAAACCAGTAGTGAACCGTGACTCTTAAACCTCAGCCCTCTGAGCAGCCATGAGCGACAGACATATGAGTATCAGAAAAATGACCACTAATTCTGCATAATGGCTGAATTGCGTCCAGAATAAAATCAGCGGGCACAGCAGCCTATAAGATTTTAAATAACCTACCCTTTGATCAGGGCATTACTTGAGAACGAATAACATAATGAAGTTATTCTCCTGTCCTTTTGGAAGAGGTGGTTGATGGTGGGGTCATGCAATTGATCCTGTGCTTTTAAATTAATCAACAATTCCTTCTCAAGCATTCTGATGGCGATGAGCTGACTTGGATAAACTTCCTAAATAACAAAATCCATCTCTGTCCCAAGACCCCATCTCCGCACCAAACAGTAAGCAATCCCAGCAGCATAGTTTAAGATGTAATTGCTGGAGCTGAAATGCCTCTCAAATGTATTTTTTTGCACTAAATTAAGCTCTGGTGTAGGTGATCCTTTGCCGATTAACTCCAAGTTTTCATTAGAAGTTAGCCTAGAAAACAGTATAGACAATAAATTTGCAGTGGTGCCCTCCTCACTAGCAGTAATGTTACTCTTGGCTTCCGTCACGAACCAACAAGCTAGCTAGCTTATTTTGCTAGCTTCGTCATGAAGCCTGCATGTCCCCCCAGCTGGCGGAACTTATCATAAAGTTAGCAATAAAATGTTGACCCCTGTAGAGGGAAGATATGATTAGTCAATTTTACTGTCATTTGAAATTGGTCTCTCATTAAGTTACTATTGCTTGGCCCTCGGTAATTTGTAGCTGGAACACCAATCACTATCATTCTTTCCAGCAACAGCAGATACAGCAAAATTCTGATAGGGAGACGAAGGGTTCATTTAACCTTTAGTTGGTACAATTTGAATAGGCAGGTTTAAAGAATTTATTTGCTTGGATTTGTATTTGTTTAGATGTTGATTATCAAAATATGATCAGATAAAACTAGAACTGCTCAATTTTAAAATATTATTTTAGAATATCTTCAGCCCTCTCTGAGGGTATGGAGGGCCCTGATGCTGGAGTCATGTGATAACCGCCGACTGAAGCGTCATACATCACTGAAACTGGTTCAGATCCCTTGGGCTTCTTCATGAGGTTAAACTGGTGAACTCCAAAATGGTTTCTGTTGTTTTCAGTCTCACTTACCCAGAGGAAGTTTAAATATATATATATATATATATATATATATATATATATATATATATATATTTGTGAGTTGTTATTCATTACTTGTTAGTTTCTTTGTCCATAGTTAATACGAGATCATATGTCAGTGTTATATTTATATAATGTTCAAATGATCAAATTAACACATTTGTGATGTAATACAGGCTTGCTTGTGTGAATAAGCTTTAATGGAAATATATGACGATTAGTAGAAAACAGTCATTGTAGAAAATTGAACTGGACAGTCGATGGCAGTATGGAGTCAGGTATCAACTGCTTCAAAACACTGAACCATTTTTTGATACAGTTGGTTCAAAGCTTCAAAGTTTTGTAACGGCCATCACTATGCAGCACCACTTTCAGCTCGAGAAGAGTTCATAACCCTCTCCTTTCCAGCAAACCAATTTAGTTTAGAACAACAAAGTCACCAAACTCACCATGGTTACCACACGCCACAAGTTACAAATGTAAGCCACAGGTGAGCTTCATAAAGAAGCAATGAAACAGTGTTAAACAGGCATAAGAGCTACCGTGCTGCTGGATCCTACTCTCCCTCGGTTATCTATTTTGCTGCCGGGTCTTACTGCCGTTCTATTAGCTAAAGCTGCTGGGTCCTAGTGCCCTATAATTCACAAAAAAAAATTCCCCAGTCCTCTTAGTTTCTACCAGTAACACCTATGAGTTTGTGTAAGTGTCTCATCTGTTTCCATGTTAAAGGTCTTGGTGAACCACACAGGCTAAACCTATGAACAATGAGTGGAAACTGGAGCTCAGCAGATTACAAGTGACATCATAATTATTACGTTATTTAAATACTGTATGTACATTTCTGAAGAAAAGTCTTTCATCATTTTCAGTCAAATCAACATAAAGACATCAGACTTTCCAGCACCCAGCTGTGTGTCCATGAAGAGTGATGAGTCAATGAATCATCCCCCAGGGCACAAAGATGGAGACCCCTCATCTGGACACAGGTATTGGCTAATAGAATTGAGCTGTTGCTGAGAGAAAGATTGAATTATGTTGCAGTTCTTAACAGCAGAAAGATTTTATTTTACATTTGTTTCAAACATTTAAAATTTCACTCAAAGTGCTTTAAATTGAAAGAAAATAACTGTGACTACTACGAACCTTTAAGAAACATTAAAATTAAAGAAAATGTAAATGTTACAGTGTAATCCAGATAAAGAGATCAGACTCCAGCTGTATGTCTATGAAGAGTGATGCTTCTATGGGTCGTCCACCAATTTTCAGAGATGAACACCCCTCATCTGGACACAGGTAACAGCTACTCACAGTTGAGCCATTGTGGACAGAAAAGCTGATTCATCCTATCCAGTAGATCAGTAACATGTGTTGGTCATGTCATCCATTTCAAAATTAATATTACCCAAAAAGAGTTTGCAGCCTTATTTTACTTTCTGTGATGTTTTCTTTTTTACCACTGTACTTTTCTATATTACAGTATAATACAATTGTTACAGTGTAACTGTATGAAGCAGTAACTCTCAAATATAACCTTTTAATGACAGGACATATTATTGATTATTGAGTTTTACAATGAAAATCAACTTTTAGACTAAAAATATAAGCAGATGTTTGCTCCTCTGGATCGGCATCCATTCCAAAATATTCCAAAAAGTTGGTCAAGCTCTAGTTATAAGTGTGATCTCTGATTTATTTTCTACTCAAAAAGAATTGTTTTGTAGGATTTAATACTGAAGTTCAGATGCTTTAGTGAAAATATGCAGCACATATTATTTGTGTGTCTACAGTGACCTACAGGGAGCGAGAGACAGAACAGAAGAGATCATGACAGACAAAGAGTAAGATCACAACAAACACACAGAAACATGCAGTATGTTGTAAACATGACTTGTCCTGTTATTTTTTGTTTAATTTTTACATTGATTAAGATTATAGAGAACATATTGTGACCAGTGGCAGTGTCAAAGGACAGAATTCCTAGGCAACACCCCACACAGCACACCCAGACTACGCCACCCCAATTTACTGGGTAGGGGGCCCCACACTGGAATACTCAAATAAATGAGTTAGACAGAGCTGTTACGAAGTTAAGAAAAGCTGACCACAACATTCTCAATATAATCACTAAGAGCAACAAGAGTGTGGAATAAGAGGCATGAAAACCAGCCTTAATTATCACAGTTTAAGTATTAAAATCCAGTGCTCAGAAGGGTACAAAATCAATACACCATCAAATATAAATAAACCAATACACCAAAAATTGCACAACACTTCAAAAGAAAAAAATATATATTTATATAACCAGAACAAATAAAACACCACAAACTGACTGCACATCCTGTCACAAAACCAAAATCCTACAATAATCTCAGGGCAGATCAGAGTGATGAAATTGTACACTTCAAGAGCACAAATGAAGGAAAAAAGAAATACATCAAAATGCTGTACTTATGGGGCGGCACGGTGGCGCAGTGGTAGCGCTGTCGCCTCACAGCAAGAATGGCCTGGGTTCGATTCCCGGACGGACGACCAGGGTCATTTCTGTGTGGAGTTTGCATGTTCTCCCCTGTCTGCGTGGGTTTCCTCCCACAGTCCAAAGACATGCAGTCAGGCCAACTGGAGATGCTAAATTGCCCCTAGGTGTGAGTGTGTGTGTCTGTCTGCCCTGCAATGGACTGGCGACCTGTCCAGGGTGTATCCTGCCTTCCACCCAATAACAGCTGGGATGGGCTCCAGCACCCCACCGCAATCCAGAAGGATAAGTGGTTTAGATGATGGATGGATGGATGCTGTAATTATGGAGAAAGAATATTGCCAGAGTCTCACTATAATGAGCAATTAACCCACACACTCTTTAATAAACCTTCTACCTTAGATAGGCACTCAAGTGCAAATATTATTCCAAAATGTAAATACAAAAATATCAATGGGCAGCTAAACAGCAAGTCTCAAAACAGTACATATAAACATATCCTAAAAGAGGTGGCTCAGTGCAAATATATCAGAAGGTATCTATAAAAGAAAACCCTGGGGAAAACAGTGGCCTGCAGACAACCAAGCCTGGAACCACTGCAAAGAGACAAACTCACATTAATTAAAGACATTAAAGGGTTAATTTAACCTTTCATATTCCAATACAAATTGAACAGGCAGGTTTAAAGAATTTATTTGCTTAGATTTGTATTTGTTAAGATGTTGATTGTCAAAATTTGTTCAGATAAAACTAGAGCAGCTCAATTTTAAAATATTATTTTAGAATATCTTCAGTCCTCTTTGAGGGTATGGAGGGCCCTGACGGTTCCCCTCTGCTACAGATCGCTTGGGCTTCTTCAATGGGGTTAAACTGGTGAACTCCAAAATGGTTTCTGTTATTTTCAGTCATATTTCAAATATTTTATATCTTATTCATGCATTGTTTTGATCCATAAATAAAAAAGACATCTATAATTTTTGACATATCTAACTATTTTTGCGTCTGAACCCATTCAGTCTCACTTGCCCAGAGGAAGTTTAAAAGTACAAAAAAAAAAAACAAATTTGCGAGTTTCCTCGAGAGAGAAAGACTGAGTGACACGTACACGGACAGAAAACTTCACAGAGATTGTTCCATTAATTAAACAATAATAGATTAATTAAATATCTATCATGCAAGGCTCAAGTATGGGACCACTTTCATTTAGACAGCTAAAAGTCAAGTCAAGTCAAGTCAAATTTATTTATATAGCGCCCTTTACAACAGATGTCGTCACAAAGCAGGAGGGGGGATAAGAAGGACATAGTTAGGAAAACAAATTAAACAAAGGCTCGACTAAACAGATAAGTTTTTAGTCTAGACTTAAAGATGGAGGCTGTGTCTGAGTCCCGAACACCAACTGATAGGCTATTCCAAAGCTGGGGGGCTTTGTATGAAAAGGCTCCTCCCCCTGACGTAACTTTATTTATTCTGGGTACTAATAATGAGCAGCACCTTGTGATCTAAGTGGGCGTGTCGGTTGATAATAGGAAACAAGGTCACTGAGGTACTGAGGAGCAAGGCCATTCAGAGCTTTATATGTCAGTAGAAGAATCTTGTACTCAATGCGGAATTTAACTGGCAACCAATGTAAGGTACACAAAATTGGGCTAATGTGGTCAAATGTCCTGGTTTTGGTGAGAACTCTGGCTGCAGTGTTCTGGACTAACTGAAGCTTGTTAAGGTTAAAACAAAGCTTGTTAAAACAAAGTGAGATGTATGACATGTGACCTAACGCTTCTTGACAGCATGATAATTAGTTCCATTACCACAAACAGTACAATATGACTTTTCATTACTTGGGAAGTTTATGATCTATGAATGATGAGAAGCCAATGTAATGGCAAATAGTTATTTTGATTATTAGTATCTTTGTCCATAATTAATATGAGATAGAAAATCATATGTCAGTGTTATATTTATATAATGTTCAAATGATCAAATTAACACATTTGTGATGTAATACAGGCTTGCTTGTGTGAATAAGCTTTAATGGAAATATATGACGATTAGTAGAAAACAGTCATTGTAGAAAATTGAACTGGACAGTCGATGGCAGTATGGAGTCAGGTATCAACTGCTTCAAAACACTGAACCATTTTTTGATACAGTTGGTTCAAAGCTTCAAAGTTTTGTAACGGCCATCACTATGCAGCACCACTTTCAGCTCGAGAAGAGTTCATAACCCTCTCCTTTCCAGCAAACCAATTTAGTTTAGAACAACAAAGTCACCAAACTCACCATGGTTACCACACGCCACAAGTTACAAATGTAAGCCACAGGTGAGCTTCATAAAGAAGCAATGAAACAGTGTTAAACAGGCATAAGAGCTACCGTGCTGCTGGATCCTACTCTCCCTCGGTTATCTATTTTGCTGCCGGGTCTTACTGCCGTTCTATTAGCTAAAGCTGCTGGGTCCTAGTGCCCTATAATTCACAAAAAAAAATTCCCCAGTCCTCTTAGTTTCTACCAGTAACACCTATGAGTTTGTGTAAGTGTCTCATCTGTTTCCATGTTAAAGGTCTTGGTGAACCACACAGGCTAAACCTATGAACAATGAGTGGAAACTGGAGCTCAGCAGATTACAAGTGACATCATAATTATTACGTTATTTAAATACTGTATGTACATTTCTGAAGAAAAGTCTTTCATCATTTTCAGTCAAATCAACATAAAGACATCAGACTTTCCAGCACCCAGCTGTGTGTCCATGAAGAGTGATGAGTCAATGAATCATCCCCCAGGGCACAAAGATGGAGACCCCTCATCTGGACACAGGTATTGGCTAATAGAATTGAGCTGTTGCTGAGAGAAAGATTGAATTATGTTGCAGTTCTTAACAGCAGAAAGATTTTATTTTACATTTGTTTCAAACATTTAAAATTTCACTCAAAGTGCTTTAAATTGAAAGAAAATAACTGTGACTACTACGAACCTTTAAGAAACATTAAAATTAAAGAAAATGTAAATGTTACAGTGTAATCCAGATAAAGAGATCAGACTCCAGCTGTATGTCTATGAAGAGTGATGCTTCTATGGGTCGTCCACCAATTTTCAGAGATGAACACCCCTCATCTGGACACAGGTAACAGCTACTCACAGTTGAGCCATTGTGGACAGAAAAGCTGATTCATCCTATCCAGTAGATCAGTAACATGTGTTGGTCATGTCATCCATTTCAAAATTAATATTACCCAAAAAGAGTTTGCAGCCTTATTTTACTTTCTGTGATGTTTTCTTTTTTACCACTGTACTTTTCTATATTACAGTATAATACAATTGTTACAGTGTAACTGTATGAAGCAGTAACTCTCAAATATAACCTTTTAATGACAGGACATATTATTGATTATTGAGTTTTACAATGAAAATCAACTTTTAGACTAAAAATATAAGCAGATGTTTGCTCCTCTGGATCGGCATCCATTCCAAAATATTCCAAAAAGTTGGTCAAGCTCTAGTTATAAGTGTGATCTCTGATTTATTTTCTACTCAAAAAGAATTGTTTTGTAGGATTTAATACTGAAGTTCAGATGCTTTAGTGAAAATATGCAGCACATATTATTTGTGTGTCTACAGTGACCTACAGGGAGCGAGAGACAGAACAGAAGAGATCATGACAGACAAAGAGTAAGATCACAACAAACACACAGAAACATGCAGTATGTTGTAAACATGACTTGTCCTGTTATTTTTTGTTTAATTTTTACATTGATTAAGATTATAGAGAACATATTGTGACCAGTGGCAGTGTCAAAGGACAGAATTCCTAGGCAACACCCCACACAGCACACCCAGACTACGCCACCCCAATTTACTGGGTAGGGGGCCCCACACTGGAATACTCAAATAAATGAGTTAGACAGAGCTGTTACGAAGTTAAGAAAAGCTGACCACAACATTCTCAATATAATCACTAAGAGCAACAAGAGTGTGGAATAAGAGGCATGAAAACCAGCCTTAATTATCACAGTTTAAGTATTAAAATCCAGTGCTCAGAAGGGTACAAAATCAATACACCATCAAATATAAATAAACCAATACACCAAAAATTGCACAACACTTCAAAAGAAAAAAATATATATTTATATAACCAGAACAAATAAAACACCACAAACTGACTGCACATCCTGTCACAAAACCAAAATCCTACAATAATCTCAGGGCAGATCAGAGTGATGAAATTGTACACTTCAAGAGCACAAATGAAGGAAAAAAGAAATACATCAAAATGCTGTACTTATGGGGCGGCACGGTGGCGCAGTGGTAGCGCTGTCGCCTCACAGCAAGAATGGCCTGGGTTCGATTCCCGGACGGACGACCAGGGTCATTTCTGTGTGGAGTTTGCATGTTCTCCCCTGTCTGCGTGGGTTTCCTCCCACAGTCCAAAGACATGCAGTCAGGCCAACTGGAGATGCTAAATTGCCCCTAGGTGTGAGTGTGTGTGTCTGTCTGCCCTGCAATGGACTGGCGACCTGTCCAGGGTGTATCCTGCCTTCCACCCAATAACAGCTGGGATGGGCTCCAGCACCCCACCGCAATCCAGAAGGATAAGTGGTTTAGATGATGGATGGATGGATGCTGTAATTATGGAGAAAGAATATTGCCAGAGTCTCACTATAATGAGCAATTAACCCACACACTCTTTAATAAACCTTCTACCTTAGATAGGCACTCAAGTGCAAATATTATTCCAAAATGTAAATACAAAAATATCAATGGGCAGCTAAACAGCAAGTCTCAAAACAGTACATATAAACATATCCTAAAAGAGGTGGCTCAGTGCAAATATATCAGAAGGTATCTATAAAAGAAAACCCTGGGGAAAACAGTGGCCTGCAGACAACCAAGCCTGGAACCACTGCAAAGAGACAAACTCACATTAATTAAAGACATTAAAGGGTTAATTTAACCTTTCATATTCCAATACAAATTGAACAGGCAGGTTTAAAGAATTTATTTGCTTAGATTTGTATTTGTTAAGATGTTGATTGTCAAAATTTGTTCAGATAAAACTAGAGCAGCTCAATTTTAAAATATTATTTTAGAATATCTTCAGTCCTCTTTGAGGGTATGGAGGGCCCTGACGGTTCCCCTCTGCTACAGATCGCTTGGGCTTCTTCAATGGGGTTAAACTGGTGAACTCCAAAATGGTTTCTGTTATTTTCAGTCATATTTCAAATATTTTATATCTTATTCATGCATTGTTTTGATCCATAAATAAAAAAGACATCTATAATTTTTGACATATCTAACTATTTTTGCGTCTGAACCCATTCAGTCTCACTTGCCCAGAGGAAGTTTAAAAGTACAAAAAAAAAAAACAAATTTGCGAGTTTCCTCGAGAGAGAAAGACTGAGTGACACGTACACGGACAGAAAACTTCACAGAGATTGTTCCATTAATTAAACAATAATAGATTAATTAAATATCTATCATGCAAGGCTCAAGTATGGGACCACTTTCATTTAGACAGCTAAAAGTCAAGTCAAGTCAAGTCAAATTTATTTATATAGCGCCCTTTACAACAGATGTCGTCACAAAGCAGGAGGGGGGATAAGAAGGACATAGTTAGGAAAACAAATTAAACAAAGGCTCGACTAAACAGATAAGTTTTTAGTCTAGACTTAAAGATGGAGGCTGTGTCTGAGTCCCGAACACCAACTGATAGGCTATTCCAAAGCTGGGGGGCTTTGTATGAAAAGGCTCCTCCCCCTGACGTAACTTTATTTATTCTGGGTACTAATAATGAGCAGCACCTTGTGATCTAAGTGGGCGTGTCGGTTGATAATAGGAAACAAGGTCACTGAGGTACTGAGGAGCAAGGCCATTCAGAGCTTTATATGTCAGTAGAAGAATCTTGTACTCAATGCGGAATTTAACTGGCAACCAATGTAAGGTACACAAAATTGGGCTAATGTGGTCAAATGTCCTGGTTTTGGTGAGAACTCTGGCTGCAGTGTTCTGGACTAACTGAAGCTTGTTAAGGTTAAAACAAAGCTTGTTAAAACAAAGTGAGATGTATGACATGTGACCTAACGCTTCTTGACAGCATGATAATTAGTTCCATTACCACAAACAGTACAATATGACTTTTCATTACTTGGGAAGTTTATGATCTATGAATGATGAGAAGCCAATGTAATGGCAAATAGTTATTTTGATTATTAGTATCTTTGTCCATAATTAATATGAGATAGAAAATCATATGTCAGTGTTATATTTATATAATGTTCAAATGATCAAATTAACACATTTGTGATGTAATACAGGCTTGCTTGTGTGAATAAGCTTTAATGGAAATATATGACGATTAGTAGAAAACAGTCATTGTAGAAAATTGAACTGGACAGTCGATGGCAGTATGGAGTCAGGTATCAAATGCTTCAAAACACTGAACCATTTTTTGATACAGTTGGTTCAACTGTATTGATGCTTCAAAGTTTTGTAACGGCCATCACTATGCAGCACCACTTTCAGCTCGAGAAGAGTTCATAACCCTCTCCTTTCCAGCAAACCAATTTAGTTTAGAACAACAAAGTCACCAAACTCACCATGGTTACCACACGCCACAAGTTACAAATGTAAGCCACAGGTGAGCTTAATAAAGAAGCAGTGTAACAGTGTTAAACAGGCATAAGAGCTACCGCGCCGCTGGGTACTACTGTCTCTCGGTTACTGAACAGAAGAGGGGATCATGACAGATAAAGAGTAAGATCACAACCAGAATACAGAGACATGCAGTATGTTGTAAACATGACTTGTCCTGTTATTTTTTGTTTAATTTTTTATATTGGTTAAGATTATAGAGAACATATGAAGTAAAAATAAATATACAGAAAATACAAGGTAGGGAATGTTTTATGTTTGTAAATAATTGAGAGTTTAAGATGTCAATTTGGGGAAAATGTGAATACAACACAATGTTAATCTTAGAAAGATCATTTAAATTGCACTGATAATTGTTCCTTTGTCTCACCACATGTGTCACCATCTGACAGACATGGCCATGCTTCTGATGCAGTGAAAGTCCAAGAAAACTTCAAAATAAATTTGAAACAGAAGTTTCAGTGTCTGAATGAGGTGATAAACCAGGAAACCCCAACACTTCTCAGTGAGATCTACACAGAGCTCTACATCACAGAGGGAGACAGTGGAGAGGTCAATAATGAACATGAGGTCAGACAGATCGAGGCAGCACTCAGGAGAACAGCAACAGAGGACACACCAATCAACTGCAGTGACATCTTTAAATCCTTATCTGAACAAGACAAACCCATCAGAACTGTGCTGACAAAGGGAGTCGCTGGCATTGGAAAAACAGTCTCTGTGCAGAAGTTCATTCTGGACTGGACTGAAGGGAAAGCAAATCAGGATGTCCACTTCATATTTCCACTTCCTTTCAGAGAACTGAATTTGATGAAGGACCAAAAACTCAGTTTGGTGGATCTTCTTCATACACGGTTTAAGGAGATTAAAGAAATGGAAATATCCACATCTCCCAAAGTTCTGTTCATATTTGATGGTTTGGATGAGTGTCATTTAACTCTAGATTTTCAGAGCACTGTGAGATTGGATGATGTCACTCAGTCATCCTCAGTGAATGTGCTGCTAACCAATCTGATCAAGGGGAATCTGCTTCCCTCTGCTCTCATCTGGATCACCTCCCGACCTGCAGCAGCTGATCAGATCCCCTCTGAGTGTGTGGATCGACTGACAGAAGTACGAGGGTTCAGTGACCCACAGAAGGAGGAATACTTCAGGAAGAGAATCAGTGATCAGAGCCTGACCAATAGAATCATCAAACACCTGAAGATGTCAAGAAGCCTCTACATTATGTGCCACATTCCTGTGTTTTGCTGGATTTCAGCCACTGTTCTAGAGAGAATGTTGGGTGAAGCAGAGAGTAGAGAGACCCCCAAAACTCTGACTCAAATGTACACACACTTCCTCATCATTCAGACAAAGGTCATAAGAGAAAAGTACACAAAGAACCAGAAGACAGATGAAGAAATACTTCTCAAACTGGGACGACTGGCTTTTCAGCAGCTGATGAAAGGAAAACTGATCTTCTATGAGGAAGATCTGAGAGAGTGTGGCATCGATGTTGAAGAAGCATCAGTGTACTCAGGTGTGTGTACACAGATCTTCAGAGAGGAATCTGGGCTGCACCAGAGTAAAGTGTACTGCTTTGTTCATCTGAGCATTCAGGAACATCTTGCAGCTCTATATGTGCATCTGACCTTCATGAGGCAGAAGAGAAATGTGCTTAAACAGAGTCAGTACAGTAAACTGGGGACCTTCAGGAGAAAAGAAATTACAATCTCAGATGTACACAAGAGTGCTGTGGATCAGGCCTTACAGAGTAAGAATGGACATCTGGATCTTTTCCTTCGCTTTCTTCTGGGTCTCTCATTGGAGTCCAATCAGAATCTCATACAAGACTTAGTGACACAGACAGGAAGTAGCTCCCACAGCAAAGAGCAAACAGTTAAATACATAAAGAAGATGATCAGAGAGAATCGCTCTGCAGAGAAATCCATCAATCTGTTCCACTGTCTAAGTGAACTGGATGACCATTGTCTAGTTGAAGAAGTTCAGCAGTACCTGCAGTCTGACAGACTAAACCAAAGAACACTCTCTTCTTCACAGTGGTCAGCTGTGGTCTTTGTACTGCTGACATCAGGAGAAAATCTGGATGAATTTGTCTTACGGAAATATAGCATATCAGATGGTGTTCTTCTGAAGCTGCTGCCTGTAGTTGCAGAATCCAAAACAACTGAGTAAGTAATACTGAATAAAACTGACTCAGTAAAAGAACCATACTGAGAACGTAAAACTGCTTCATTACTCAAACTTTTATTAATTCAAATACAAATGTAAATACAAAAATCCAACTGCCTTCATATATCTGAACACTTTATATAATTTATAAATTTTTATCTGCCTGTATCTGATATGCTGTAGCATTAATATCTTATGTATAGCCCATATCAGTCAAATGTATGTTAAACTTTTGTGATATATTCTTATTTTCTTCAGTCTTTCATTTTGCAATCTGACAAAGAAAAGCTGTGCAGCTCTGGCCTCAGTGCTCAGCTCAGAATCCTCCAGTCTGAGAGAGCTGAATCTGACTCAGAATAAAGTGGGAGATTCAGGAGTGAAGCTGCTCTCTGCTGGACTGGAGAATCCTCTATGTAAACTGGAGACACTGAGGTAAGATAATCTTTAACAGATTTATTCTCTGGTATCATATTTATATTTGTTAAAAAAAAACAAAACTATTTATTAACACATATTACATAATTATTTAAATATTAGGGACATATTTGTTGATCATTAAAAGTGTAAAATTAATCACAGAATTGGTGCGATTGGATGTTGCAGATGTTTATGTATTAGTTCATGTGCAGTGCAGGTGCTAATCTGGCACAGAGGAGCTCAGTTGTAGTCATCATCAACATTATATCAGGTTTACACTGCAGGGAATCCTCAATTTCAATAAGCAACACATAGATAACAGATTGAGAAAAAGTCTTGTCTAACAGCAAAACCCAGTGATAAACAATAAAACAAGAAACAATATACCATAAAACAAAAACAAATAAAAGATAAAACAGGCTTTCAAGTGAAGTACAAGAAAATAAGAAACATAATAAAATTAAAATAAGATGAATTAACTTAAAAAATTACAAACAGAACAAGAATTTTAGAAAGTAAAGGTTTACAAATCCTATAAAAAAACAACACGTAGAGAGCAGAGTAAACAGTGGTGATAAATCATGCTGATATCATTTATATATTTTTTTATTAATTAATTAAATAATTATTGAATTAATTTAAAAAAAACATTGGTATGCTGTAAATTTCAGAATGTGGCTGGTATTTAAGGGAGAGGGGGGTACAGTATGTCATTGTTTGGTATTATTCTATATATAGTAACATAATAAATGTTAAACGTTGGCCACTAACAGTCTTGGATCAGATTTGCTGTCGGTTATGATGAGAAACACGTTAACATTTATAGTGTGTTCTGTTCTGGATGCAGCAGCCGAGCTAGTCACTGCCTTCAAAGGCTCCTCTCTGTCTCTCTGGGCAGCATTTTAGCTGAAAAGGACCCTCTACAGAACCATCATATGCCATAAGTTTCACTGAGCTGTACATGTTTTATCTGTTCACTCACAGTCGCTAATGATACTGACACTCACCTCTGACTGTAAAGGTGGATCATCTCAGTGTATAAGGATGACTCCAGAATCTGCAGCAGCTATATAATATATACACTAGCTGGCCCAACGTTATATTTAAGTAACAGAACACGAGAGAGAGTGTTATTGTGAAATAACATCACGTGTAAAGTGTTCTTAGGATGCAGGGGGTTTATGCCAAATGCATGGGGTTCAAGCCAAATCGTCCAGCGCAGTTTTATTATGGGAATTTAAGTCTTAAGTCTGTTTTCTCCCAAAACCATTTCACACCAGATGCAGTGATGAGCCTATATTAATGAGTGTAGCCTTTCAGACTGACCATGCGCGTCATGCAGTACCGTGGCAGTAATGTGTGAGTAAAACTGAAAGTGAATGCTTTGGGTATATTTTTAACACTTTATGCCCTTGACAGCATATTCTAGACAGAAACAGTAAAGAAATGCTGTGTTTATTACCTGGTGATAAAGCTGGCAACAGACGCAGCAGCAAGTCAGGTTCTTATTGTTGATCTCTTTATATCATCTACATAAAGTTTATTTAAGCAGTAAACAGACAATACAGACAATTTGTATTATGTAAAAACACAATGTAATCAGAAGCTGCTTTCCTCTCATAACTCGCTTGGGTCACGTTGTTATGTGTTGGTCTAGGTTGTAATGAATCTAGGAGCAAGGAAAGGGACAAAAAAGAAATCCACAGCACACAATGGTCTATGTTCAGACTATTTACATATATTTAGAACAAAGATAGAATTAATAAAGCAAATAACTGTTAGCGAAGAGTCAACCAATCTGCTATTGCTCCAGGGGTAAGCAAAGGCCAAAATAACAAACAAAACCCAACACTAACTCCCAACCCAAATCTAACTTACCTAAACCCAACAAAAACAAAGAAAACACGGTTAACTTCCCTGACTCCCTAACTAGTCTAAAACCAGGAGAAAAGAGAGAGAAAAAAGGAGTCTACAAACAAAATGGCGCTTACCCCTTTCCAGCAGTGGTGACAAACAAAATAAGACAACTTAGCACCGTTGCATAGTTGTCTTTATGTAAAACACTTTACACAGCACACTTTTGCCAAGTGAGTCTACAGACTCAAAACACACACAGGGCACACAGCAAGGTAGGTTCCCCCTTCTTCATTTTCCCACCTCTTTTATGGTATTATTCAGGAAGTGCTTCTCCCACAGCACACACCAGCCTTCAGCCTGGATAGAGCTCCACCTAGAGACAGTGAGGACAGAAAAAAACACAGACACACACAGAGAGTACAGGAAAACCTGTAACAATTGCAGGAGGGAACATAGGAGACCTGTAACACACGTCCAGTATTAAATAACAAGCGTTGCAGAGAGATTCTGGTGTGAAACGGGCTTCAGGAAACGTTACATCCAGCATCCGGTTTCCCACTGTTTCACAGTACCTACTGACGTCAGTCCATATAGCGGTCAAACTGACACAAGAAGGGAGCGCTAACATCGTTCCTCAGCAGCCACACTGACAAGACTGCCTGCAGATGTGTCTGCAGACATGTTTTTTTTTTTAATCGGCCTCATGAGTGCAGGCATTGTCCAATGATGATTACCCTGAAATGGCACTTAATCGGTTGACCACTAGTTTTATTATTAGATTTCAAAATAAACCAAACTCAAAATAAACCTTAATTAAGAAGTACGAACATGATAATTACCTGAATTCATGATGACAAACATAGTAGTTAATGCTAGTAAATAATTACATTTTACAAACTATGAACGCAATAAACACTGTAATTTTACAGTAACTTACAAAGCAATTCAGAATAATATGATGTTTTATTAAATTACAGTACATCATTGTGTTTTTGTGTCCTCTGGGAGTAAATGTCCATTTCTCCATTTGTCCAGTGTCTCCTTTAATCATCATATGCGTCATACAGACGGTTTTAGGCCATTTCTACTGAACACCTACTGCGTGTACTTTTCAGTCTAGGCTCAAACTCTATCTGACCAAACAGGCTGGGAGAGCATTTAACTATGGTGAATTAGACATTTGATCTCAGTGAAGATCTGCAAAGTTCCTGCAGTGTCAGCAAAAATTTAACAAGCAGCTCATCATGCAGTTTAAGTTTCATCTCACATGCAGCGTTTTATCCAAATTTGTTTTATTTATGTTAGCATTAGCTTAGCTGCTTCTCTGTATCTTATGCTACAGTGTGAAATGGGTGAAGTGAATCTACCTGATAATGTATTTATATCCACATATTTATCCACATAACTGTACTGTAAAGTGTTTCCAGTATAAGTTCTGTTTATTTCTGCTTCACTGCAGTTCAAAGTTTCACACTCTGTCCAAAACCTGTTTAATCTTACAAGATAATAAACAGCTTATTAATTTATTATATTCTGCACTACACATGCCTTCTTCAGATACCCAAAGTAAGCTCACTAAGATGAGTTTGGATATTCATGTATTCAAATAGCTTCATCCATCCCTATGAAATAATGGATCAGAAAGCCTAGATTAGGTTATATTAGTCATAAAATAAAACTTTTACACACATACTTTACATTAAATGTACTGAAAAAGCCCATACATTTTAACCTTCTCATATTTGTTCATTAGTAAAGAAGCATAACACTTTATTCATTACAGATAATTACTATATTTGTTCATGATTTGTTCTTACAAATCATGTTACAGTTGTTACAGGCTACTAAGTAATGGTATTGTGTTACTGATTTTTGGAAAAAAAAACTTTCAGTAAATGTTCTGTAAATTACAGAAAAAGTAGAGAGTCTTTCTGTTATTATGATTCTAAACTGTGGAATTCATCACTCACCACTTTTAACCTGGAAACAATTTTATCTTTATATAATATTTATATTTTCTTAAACTTCAAAATGAAGCTTATCCTATTTCTTTTCATTTTACCTTCTTTTTCACTTCATTTTTAATTTCATTTTAACTATTATATTTTTTCTAATTTTTTTGATGTCTTTAATTTTACTATTTTATTCTAAAGCATTTTGAGCTGCTGCATGTATGAAAAGTGCTCTCTAAATAAAGCAGCAGCATTAAATGGGTAATAACATGGTAATATTATAGTATTAAGTTGTAGTACACTAAAAAATGCAATTTAGTTCTTGTTGCTTAATAAAAAAGTTAGAAAGTCATGTGATTAATAAAATTTTTAAAATATTTGGTAGGAAAATATCAGGTAATATTAAGATTATTATGATAAAAACGAAGAACCGGTTGTGCTGAAGTGATGTGGTATTAGTGCTGTAAAATACTAATTCACTTTTTGATACTTTATTTTTTATCTATTATGTATTTAAATGGTCAGGCATTGTTTCATACTGTAATTACAGTGAAACTAAATGATACTGGAGCTGTAATATCAGTTCTTCAAAGTAATGTGAGTAATTGCATTGAACTAAATTACTGCAGTATAATCACTCATAGTTCTTCTGTTACTTCTACATGTAGCTCCACCTACAGATATGATGAGGTAAATACACTTAGATTACACAGAATCAGGGCTGTTCACATGTTCTATTTGTGTTACCTGTCAACAAAATACTGTTACTCTATTATAAAGCACTGATCTGACAAAATGCTAAGACATTTGCTCAAACCACACCACATTTGTTTTCACAAACATATCATTATTTATCTTATAAATTAATAACTAAATAATTAGCATGTAATTGTTATGTTTGTACAACTTATAATATTACTCAGTTTACATATCTTTAATAAATATCTGTAATAAAGTTCTACTAATAAATATGTATTTCATGTCTGTAGTCACAGCTTGTTAATGAAGTTCCTGCTGAACTGATG